CAAAAAAAAAAAAAAAAAAAAAAAAGAGAGAGAGAGAGGCCTGGGGTCAGGGGCTCAGGAGGCCATTCCCACCCCCTACAAACCAGCTCACACCCCAACTTTCGGGCTCAAGAAGGAAAATATTTTCCCCTTCGACCAGCTCCTCCCTGATGAGCTGGATCCCAGCAGGATGCACCCTGTAGCCTCCCTGTCTTCGCTGACATGCCTCCTTTGATACAGAACTTACTCCTCCAGACGCCTACCAGCCCTGTCCTGGGACATCTCTGAGCTTGGGAACACTTGCCCTTGTGCTGAGCTAAGCCCCTCCCCTGGGTTTTGAGAGCTGAGGGAGGAGGCTTCTTCCTCTCAGGCCCTATCTTCCTTGTAGCAGATTTGGAGATGTGTATGCAGGGACGATGGGACCTGTCCCCAATCCCCATCCCTCCCTCAACCATTGAGTCGACATGCCCCCCATCCATTCTCACCCTACTGTCTGTTTTCTAATCAGCCCTCCTCCGTGTCCACTAGGCCCCAGCTCAGGCCTCCTCCTCCCTCAGCTGGACCTTGGCCTCGCCGCCTCCCTGGCCTCCCAGCCTCCAGTCTTGCACCCTGCCCATCCTCTACGTTGGCCCCAAAGGGATATCTGCAACCGACCTGGCCCATCTCCTCTCTTGCTCTAAACCATCTGTGACTCCCCACTGCCGTAGGAGAAAGTCCAGGCTTCTCATCCTCACATTGCGGCCCCATCTTCTATGGCTCCTCTGGGCTACCTGTTGCTACCTCCCAGCCTTTCTTCTTGTTAGGGCCTCTCCTGGCCTCAGCAAATCCAACCCAGGTGTCATCCCCTCTAGGACATCCTTACATGTACACATATACACACTCACACACTCACAACCTATACTCAAACAGACCTGCATACACTCACACACGTACACAATCACCCACAATACTGACTCACACTCAGGCACACACACACACACACACACACCTGCCCGCAAATGCACCTGCAGATGCACACACATGTGCTTCCTCCCCCATGGCCCAGGCATACACACATGCTCACACACACACAAACACACACGTGTACTCACATACACACATGCACATGCACCAGTATCTCTACACTGGCACACAATGGCACACTTATCTGTACATATTTACACACAACCCCCGTGCACACAGCACTCACATAACACTCACCTAGTAGTAATGACACAGTCACACACACACTCACACACACACGCATGCATGCCTTCCCAGGCACACTCACACCCAAACATGCACACTCACCAACACGTATACACTTGTAATACATCCATGTGTGTGCTTGGATACACTTCGCTTGCATACTCACCTCCACATCTGCACACACTCACACGCATATACCCACTCCAGGGACCACAGCCGGGGACTGTGCCTCTTTCTCCACCTGTGCCCCCTCTGAAGGACAGCCGGGGCTACTGGGTGACAGCAATGGTAGGAATATGGCCTGTTTCATCCCTGTCCCCTCACCCCTTTCCCACGCCCACCCCCACGGCCAAGGGCAGCTCCAACTCACCGGCATGGTCTGGCTCCCATGCAAGGCGTGGATGGCCGCCTGCGCTTCCGTGTGGGAGGAGAACTTCACGAAAGCACAGCCTGCTCCAAAAGAAGAAGAGGGTGATGGGGTCATGGGACTGGCTGAGCGGGGGCCACAGGAGAGGGGACAGAGAGACCTACATGGCCAGCGTCACACACATGCAGACAGAGAGAGTTGATAACAGAGAGACAGCCAGCCATTTGCTCAGACGGACAGCTGGACAATCAGCCAGATCAAGGGTCAGAATGGAGGAGAATCGCACAGACAGCCAGCCACAGAGTTAGACAAAGAGCCGGTCACCCACACAGCCAGCCAGCCCGCCATTTCTTCACTCAGTCCAGCAGAAAGTCAGTCAGCCATCCAGGTAGCGGATTAGACAGTCAGTCACAGAGTTTGTGAAGCACACAACCAGATGGACCGTGCAAGGCTGGGAACCATCAGGGAGGAGGTCTCATCCATCAGAACAAATGACAGGGACCAAGGTCCAGATAATTACGATCAGATATGCGGAGTTAAACTGACAGACCACTGAACACACTGTCCTATGGGCAGAGTCCACAGAGATACGTGCAGGTCCAGACAGACCCTTCTGACCACAGCCAGACAGATGGAAATTATCAACCGCCAGACCTGAGTGGACCCAGACAGAGCCACACAAGCAGACAGACCACCACCAGAGACCACCAGACACAGGCTAATGCAGACAGACAGTCACATACAGAGACCACCAGACACAAGCGAATGCAAACACGGTCCCACGGACAAAGTCCATAGAACAGACAGAGACCACTGGACCTGGCTCCGGACTGGTAGAGTACTATGGAAGGGCCAGCCATATTGTGGGGGGAGGGGTGGAATGTTCTGGAATTAC